TGACGTCATTGATATATTTTTTAATAGAACACCTTGTATATTTCTCCATTTTTGTATTCTGCTTCAAATGGGCCTTTTCACAGATTTTTTTTTATTGCTTTATGTGATAGTGTTTTAAAAAAAAAACTTGCCGTATTTTTTTTATTTTTTTTTGAGCACGATTTCTATCGAAAAAAAAACAATAGTGCGGAAATAAAGCGCGCGCTTTTACGTGACGTCACGCAACCCACCTTAGTGACGTCAAAGGGACTACGACCTTGAACATGACATCGGTGTATTGCAAAGTTGGTTCTCTGCTTTTTGACAGTTGACGTCGCAATTAACTTTGACAGTCGTTTCTTTTTAGTTTGGATTGTTGTGTGTGGAACATGTTTAAAAAGTGCTTTGTACCAACATGTACAAATAACAACATGAATTGTCCAATCAAAATTTTCGTTTACGTTCCACCAGATGAAAATAGACGAAAAGCATGGTTTAAAATAGCCAAAGTTGAGAAGCAGTTGACGAAAACCAGAAACATTTACTGTTGTGAAGATCATTTTGATGTAAGAAAAGTAGTTGTATTTTGAAATTGATGCTAAATTATTGAAATTTTACAGTTAAAAGAAGATTCCGATTCATATAAGCAACTGCGTTGTCACCGTACGATGCTCTTGTTGACCTGGAAATTATTAGACATTAGTAAGTATAATTGAAATAGGAAAAAATATTGTAACAACAATTGCATGTTAAAATGCCGTTTTGTTTTAATATTCCTGACTTCTGCTGATAAATAATCCAAATTTGACATGTAAAACTCGTCCACCATAATAAAGTCAACTTTCGGCAGATTTTCTGCATTTCCTTTAGAAAATCCTGGCTCCATTTTCTTCCAATAATATGCAGAAACAAAGCAAAACACGATTCGTAAATGAACACACAGAACATAACCACAAAACTAACCGTAAACAATGTAAAATGTATCAGATGTGTTGTGACGTTAGTAGTATTAGGCGTTCTGGCAAATGCTACCAACATGATTCCGGTTTGCGTGACGTCACTCAGCTTCAAGGTCAAATGAGTGTTCAAATTGCCATAATAAATGTTTATTTTTTTATTAAACAATGGGAGACTTATATTTCAAACAGAGTTGCACAAGGTGAATATCTATCAGTTAGCTTTCAAATAAACATATTTGTTTTGAGATTTCAGAAGTAGTGAAAAGGCCCATTGTTGATTCCAAATATGTCATACTTAGGGTCTAAATTTGATAAGTTGGAAGATACGGCCATTTAAAAAAAAAACAAGGGAAAAAGTAAAATAAACACGTTTTTTATTAATTTTTGAGGTAGGCTAGTTTTTGTATGTTTTCTGTTTTACCATTATCGTCTTTGACAGTGAATCACTTAATAATACTTTACCCCAGTAGTTGTTTCTCAATAATTGTTGTTGATTTATTTTAATATAACATGAGTGTATCTGAGAATTGAAATGCATACGGTGATTGTGTATGGTGATAGGATACGAACTCAACATGAAGTATGTAATTTATTTAATACTAAATATCTACGACCCATAACTCAATCGACAGTGAGTAAAATTGAAAAAAAATTAGAGAGACTGTAATGGTGAAAGATTTACCCAAAACAGGGCGCCCAGGTGTTGACGAGGATACAAAGTTAAATCTTTTACTGGCTGTTGAAGAAAGTCCACATACCAGCTTACGCTAGGTTACTCGCGATTATGATGTTACTAAACCGCCAGAACATACATTATTAAAATTAGAAAAATGGCATCCCTTTAAGATTCAGCTTGTGCAAGAACTAAGTGATGATGAATCAGATCGGAGGATACAATTTTGTGAAACAATGATGAATATGTGCAACGGTGATCATCTTCTGAAAAAAATTTTATTTTATTTGTGAACGGACCGGCATAGCTCCAATTTTTAACGGATTATCTCATCCCAACGTTATCAAATATATTCCCCAGTAGAATTAATTTTGGAAATGTTGACAAAAGCCTGTGGTATCAACAAGATGATGCGCCTCCCCATTACGTAGCAGACGTTCGAAGGTATCTTGACCAAATATTTCTGAACAGGTGGATTGGTAGACGTGGCCACCAAGGTCGCTGGACCTCAATCCATTAGATTATTTTCTGTGGGGCCATCTAAAAAAACTTAGTTTATAAAACCAAACCGGAAAACATTGTTGAATTAAAAGAGAGAATTAGAACAGAAATAAACAACATTTCTCGGGAAACTATAAACAAGGTTCAGCAACACTTTATTCATCGTTTAGGGTACTGTCAGCTACAAGTAGTAAAGTTCAAACATTTACTATAAATTGTTTTTATTATTAACTAACCGTTGGTTCTAGTGACTATTATTTGTTCAAACAAAACATGAAAAATTAGTACAGTTTTATATACAAAATGGCCATATAATAATAATAATAATAACACCACATGTAATGACAGCCCCTTTTATCCCTGAATGTCTTAAATGACATTGTGCGGGAGAGGGTTCCACATTAAGAGACAACGGACATACATCCAATATCCGAGTATACTACGATTAATCTCTCTCACAGAAAAAATCCCAGTGCCAAGGCCGGGAATCGACCCGGGACCCCGAGGTTTCGAGGCAAGTACGTTACCTCTAGACCACGGAGCCATATCTTTCAACTTATCAATTTTAGGCTCTAAGTATGATACACTTTTGGATTCAGAGTCCAAAAAAGGAGAAATATACAGGATGTTTAATTAAAAAATATATCAATATCGTCATACCGGAAACAGTGATGACGTCATAATTGAAATTAAAAATCGTGTCCGACGGGTCTAAATATTTTGGTTTAAGTAATAATGAATTTATTCCATATGTTACGGACACACTGTATAACTAAATATGTAAATCATTCTTTTCAAAGAAAGTCTCCTTTGTATAAAAGTTAAATACGTAATAGGAATATGTTTCAATAAAGTTGTTAAGAAAAACGATTTTTTTTACATTGTGCGATAAACTAACTTTACTATAGTACGGCAGAGCTTTCTCACGCGAGGAGTGCGACAAAGCCTGCTTTTTTCAACGCTTGTAAAAAAAATTACATTTTTCTTACAATTACTCGTAGCTGAAAATATATTTCTGTTTAGTCGAATGAATTTTCGTGTCATATGTCATAGTTGAAATTGTAAACGCTAATAATCGTAATTGTTTATTATTAGGACTCAATAATGATGCTTGTATAATAATTTCGCATATATTACATACTGCCCCACGTACTTTATCCTTAATTATTTTAAATTTCTATTGAGTGCTCTATTAATAGATATTACGATGTTCTCGAATCACAATTATAATCTAGAATAAAAATGTACTTATTTAACGCACAATTTTTGGTATCGGAAGAGACAAAAATATGTAGGAACGATTTTTCTGTGACCTACTCAAAAAATAAATGCAGTAACTCTTTTTTAACTTCGATATTTTTGTTATATATTTAGAGAATTCATTTAAACTCGAAATATGTACATATGTATTGAACCGTCATGCGTCATTTATTTAAGTAATAACAAAGTTTTACTCTAATATTCTGTTATAATCAAATTATAGCCTCGAATGTTCTAATTCCACAAAAGTTAAATGAAATAAAATAATTTAAATGTTTAAGCAGGCGATGAGCGCTTTTGGTGTAAGTAATGATTTAAAAACTAATTTTTGACAGCGTACTTACCTGCACAAAAATTAAATTAATTAATCAGCTTTTACATGTAAAAACGGCACCGATGAACGGCCGAAAATTATATTATGTAAGTGTAGTGCGTTAGTGGACGTAAAAAATGACGAAGAAATATACGTCCTCAGAGTGATTTTTGTGTGTTGTTATGTATAGTGTGGAAGGTTAGACTGTCATACGTAAATCCAGTCCAATCATTAATAAATCCGCTGTGATAATAGACGTGTCGTCGAAAAAACACCGAACGTTGATTGGTTTCCACCAGCTGGGGATGACGCCGGGGGATACATAAATAATAAAATAATAAAAATAAATAAAAATATATTTATCCTCAATATACTACAATTAATTGTAAATAGGATACGGAGCACTACTGATGGTTAGATGATGAGCGACAGAAGAAATGGAGTTGTGAATAATAGTGGGCGCCGCCCGTTGTTTAAAACGAGAAAATTTGGAATATATAACAAAATAATTTAATTAGAAACTGCAATGAAATCTGAGGAGACTGACCCGTTTGTGTGAGCGGCGTCTCGGGCGCGTAGAGCGACCAGCAATGAGTCTAGTCACTGTAGAGGGACGGGAATGTCTGCCGGGCAGTTCGGTGATAGGAGGCGAGAAAGCCCTGAAGTTTTGAAGAGTCGCAGAGAAGAATTCTACTACCATGAAATTCGGAAAATCGGCTTTATTGTAGTTCTCGGGTTAATTAGGGATCGGTGCTTTATGAGAGCAGTAAATATAGGTTAGGCAAGGCGTGTGCTGAATGCCGGGAGAGTGCTTGGAAAGTTTTATTGAAATTTTTATACTACCACGAAATGTGGTGTTGGTGCTCGATGTACTTACTGATAGAGCGTCGTCGTGAGAATGCACTATCACTTATTAAAAATAAGTCTAAGCTCACCTGAAAGTTGGTAGGAGGGGCACTGAAACACTCAGAAAATAAGGGTACACAATAATAAAATAAAAGAAAAACCATTGTAAAAGGTAAGAGAAACAAAGGCGGTGAAACAAGGAGGAGCTGTTATCTGAGGGTAAAATACTGTTTTCTATACTGTCTGCTCCTGTTGTGTAGTTATTTACGTCATGGCATCCAAATTCCCACTTATGTCAAATACAGTAAATGAAACCATCACTTTTGGTGGTGGATCCATAATGGTATGAAGTGGAATAACAATAACCACTCGCACGGAATGTGTTTGAGGTATATAGTTTTAAAACAAATTAAAAAAGGTATAGTGTAACTTAAAGCTGCACAAGCTGATCATTTAAAATATGATGTGTGGCTTCATAGTCGAGTGGTGAGGACTCTTGCCTCTCGTCCTGGAGTCTCGGGTTCGATTCCCGGGCGAGGAACTAGAATTTTTTCTAAACCAGAAATTAATCCTAGCATACTCAGACATTGGGTGTGTGTTCATTGTCTCTAAATGTGTAGCCTTCCCCCACACAAAATACCTTGAGGTATCCTCAGGGATACAGAGGGTTGTATTACCTGTGGTGTTTAATTTAAAAAAAAATATCGGTGTTTTTTAATTTACTAATTTCTAATAATTGTATTACTCATAGTTTTAAGTCTTTATTTTCAATATGTAAAATTTTAAAATTATCGTCAAATATATGGTTTTCAATAAAATGGTTGGAATATGTTGAATCTTTATTGATATAGCTTCTTTCATGTTCTATAATCCTTTTTCCAAACGTTCTTCCGATCCGGTTGGTCCTGTATACACTTAGGTACATGTATTACATGTAAGCTTTTATCTTCATTTTTTATTTTCAAACTTGTTATTTTTAATAATTTTTTCCTACAGTATTATTTGTTTCATAGTAATTTTAATGTTTGTTTTTTGTTCATTTCAATCCATATTTCCTCAGAAGGTGAGGCAAGTTTTATATTTCATGTCAGTTGTTTTTGGCTTTGGGCAAACATGTACTACTGCTTTTTTTATAATTTTTCTTTATAAGTATGTTATCAATGCATCTCAGGTGGTCATTGCGCGATATTAGGAATATAAGAGAATATTAGGTTCTTGTGAGACTTAATATTCTACCTGTATTCCTAATATTCGCGCAATGACTAGGTACCTGAGACACGGTCTCTTATTATTAATCATAGTTTAGTTAAAGCCTTTGGAAAAAGACACCACATAAATTAGATAACCCCCAAATACACACGCAGAAGCTGTCCAGAGGGGACGACACTTTGATTAAACGTGGACACACACATCCAGTCCCTCCAATATTCCTATCTGCCGGAGCTTAGAATCAAACTCAGAATCAGATAGACGTATAACTAGTCGAGCTTGTCGCATAGCCCGCGCTAGCCAACTACGTTATCGTGCTCGGTTTATTATTCACAGCTATTTATAATATTTAATTCATTATTGTAGTTAAAATACACTAGATAAAACAAATAATTCAACGAAAAGAAAAGGATAATAAAAAGAAGATATAAGTGGAGTTAATAAACTTACATATTGCACATGCCCTAAAGTATACCAGGTGACGACAACGAAATCGTTTTACAGGACGCCATTTTGTTATCGTTTGAGCTAGCGATGTAAAATTTTGGTTCAAGAAATAGTTGATGATGGTGCATCTTCTTCGTTAAAGAACAGTTGGATAGCACTTTCGGTTTGTCCGGAAGTGAGGTTAGGTTACGAATTTTAAATGGTACCCTGTATATTTTCTTACGAATTTAAATAAAGCTGTAAATTCCCTTTTCAGTGAATTATCACAAGGTGTCATTTGTTTCCAAGACGCAGAATACAATTTCCTAAAATTTAATATGGCAAAATTTTAACCGCATCGAATATTTTTTTGTCTAAAAGCTTAGCAAAACAGTGAACGTAGATAATTTCCTTTTAGGTATTTAACGATTCCTTTGGAAAATGGTGATAGATTTTAGTTTATATTAACATGAACTATTTACAACTCGACTATTCGCCATGATTTTAAAAGGAAAATACTAAAAATCAAAATACCATAGCCTGCTACCGTTAGTTAGTTGTCCCAAAATGAATCGTACTTTACCAAATTGTAATTAACTTTGGGCCAAAAAATTCAGAAAATTGTATTACAGACATATGAAATTTTAGGAAATTGTATTCTGCGTCCTCATCTTGAAAACAAATGACTAAAGCTGCAAATCGTTTCTGTGTATCTTGGTCGTAGAGTACAGAGGGAATTACTGTCGCCTGCATTCACCTTGACCGCGAAACTCTTTCTCCAGTCCAGTCTAGTTTTCGAGTTGTGTACACGTTAAGTCACTTGGGCGTATTGCATATTGTTTTTGTGTTTTTATTTTATTTGTTGTTCTGTATTGTTGATATTAATTTAATAATAAAGCATGGCAGACGTACGCAGGGGTAGAAAACGGCCATTTGCTGACAAAGTGAATAAATTCATAGGTGAATTCCCGGATTTATTCTATTCTCTTCTAATAATTTGTAAAGTGTGCGAGAAAGATTTGATGTGCTGGGATATACGTGATTGTGGACTTCACGTAAATAGTGTACACCATAAAAATACAAAAAAAGCGTGCCTTCAACAACACAGTTTATGTTTGATTTACTATTAATGCTGATTGCCTGTGATGGTTTGCTGCACATACTCGATAAACAACCATTTCGAGAGTTCTGGAATTTAATGCCTAGGTGAACACACTGTACACGTAGACAGTAAATAAGATGAAATGTGAATTAAAAAAATACACGGCTGTGGTTATCTGTTGATGAGACAAGATTGTAAAAAAAATTCTATTTTAAATGTTATAGTACGAGTACTGAACCCTCTTAAACCAACAGTTCCACTGTTACCAGCTAGCAAAAGACTAAGTCAGTGTACTAGCTAAACAATTACCAGGGTGGTGCTGGAGACGTTAGAAAAATTTGAACTGTCAAAAAGTCAAGTCTTGATGTTTGTGACTGATGGCGCCGTGACAATGCGTTCGGTAGGCCGTAATTTGCAAGAACAAGGTTGTACGTTTATACATGTTACGTGTAAAGTGCATGTTTTACATCTCGTGGCAGAAACTATTCGAAAAGGTTTTCCAGAGGTGGATGCATAGCAAGTACAAAAAAAGTGTTTCTTAAATCTCCTAAACGTCTTCGTGCATTTCATAGCAAGTGTCCCGGTATTCCTGAACCACCACAGCCGATTCTTACACGTTGGAGAATGTGATTGCAGGCAGCTTTTTATTATGCTGAATATTTCCAACAAATAAAAGCAGTGATATTACAATTCAATCTAGATGAGGCTGCAGCTATTAAGGAAAGCCAGACAAAATTCGAAGATATTTCCATTGAAACAGCTTTAAAAAAATATTGCGAAGAACTATAAACCATTACATGAAAGCATAAAAAAAATTAGAAAACAGTGCGTTGTCGTTAGCGGAGGCACTGCAAATAGTGGACGAAGTAAATCTACTGCTACACGATATAGGTGACGCAACAAATGAGCGCGGCAAAGAAAAGTTCGCAAGTGTGTTAAATAAAGACACAGGTTTTACCAAATTAAGACAAATATGTGATGGTACAGCCCCAGATCCGTTAAGTGCGTTCAAAGACTATTTTACGTATGCGTGTATTACATCAGTAGATGTCGAACGGTCGTTTTCAAAATATAAGAATATATTTTCACCAAAGCGAACATCACTCATGGAGACAACCATAGAAACATACCTGATGCTGCAAAATGGCTACACATCTTCTCCAGTTTGTGATAAGCCAGCTAGTTCATCAAGCTAGTTAAGAGGGTAAGTTTTACATACACTGTTATAAATTGTAACAGTTTATTGTTTCTCGTATTAGTTAAATTCGGGTACGCCGCTGTCCCACGGAACATTTTTGACAACCCTACAAATGACAATTTGTGATACTTCATTGAAAAGGGAATTTATTGCTCTATTTAAACTTTTAAAAAAAACATATAGGGTACCAGTTAAAATTCGTAACCTAACTTCACTTCCAGACAAACCGGAAGTGTCATCCAACAGTTTGTTAATGAAACATATACAATTTATTTCAAACTTATTTGCAACATAAAAGACGTCGGCTTCTTTGATCGCTTTACCGCCCTCAAAGAATCCGACGTTTTTTATGTTGTAAATAAGTTTGTAATAAACTATACATCTTTATCAACCATATCTTCTTCCAAAATTTCAAGTCCATAGCTTAAACAGTAACAAAATAACTCCCTGTAAAACGATTTCGTTGGCACCCGGTATAGGACAGAACGTAAAAGAGGTTATTTAAATAATTACAAAAATTTATCATTTAATTGAAGAAAACTGTTAATTTGATGATAATTTTAACATTGTACAAACAAGCTGAAAATAAAGGTTTAAAATAATTATTACTAGAACCGCTGAAAATTTTGCAAATAAAAAAGTGCTCATAATCTTAAATGATCAGCTTGAGGCTAATTATCCACCTTTCTTAAATCTCTTCTAAATTACTGCTTACTCTAAGTCACATTGTACATTTTTAAAATTCTATTAGCGTGTCATTAAGTAACTTAGTTATATACTCAACATCTTACGAAGCCACTTTGTGAAGAAACAATAATTATTGTTATGTTTTGTTGTATGTACATAAGTATGTAAATATATAAATTTCTGAATATCAAACATACAAGTTTATTTTGTTGGTCAGTATAACCTGGATTTTCATCAAGTGAAATACAATTAATTATATATTTTTCTTTTCAGTTTCTGTTATACTGGGTGTTAATTAAATACGTGGAGAAATTTTAAACGGTAAATCTTTGTATGATTTTAAGACAAAAAAGTTTAAATAACCATATGCCCTAGACGTCTAGGTTTTCGAGATACAGAGTGATACATTTTTCTGTGTTTTTTAAAATTGTTCTTATGTAGTTCTAAGGATTATTAAATCAAATTCAGGACGAATAATACTTTTGACAGTACCCGTGAAACAACGTTATTAACTTTTGAAAAAATCTACAGGGTCCTAATTTTTTTGAGGTTAGCTCACCAATTTTTTACTACTACTTACTAAATTTGAGAATAAAATCTAATTTCCTATTTTATTCTTAAACTTTTCTTTCTCGTGATGTTTTTCATTATCTTGTAGTTTAGAAGTAGATTGATAAAAATAATGTTAATTTTTTAAGGATAATTTATTCAAATTCATCACTTACGTATAATACTTTTAACAGTACCCATGAAACAATGTTATTAACTTTCGAAACAATCTACAAAAAAAAAAAATAACAGGCACAATACTTATATTAGAGTAACTGCTGGATGTGTTATTAAAATACCCTTATTATGCTATTATTGCGTTTATGTTCCGTATCAACGAGTGGTGGACCCGTTCAAAAATACCAGGAGTATT